AAATTTTATAAATAGTAATATAAAATTTTTATCTTGATATTATTGATAATTGAATGATTTTTATAATATTTTATTTAATTTTTATTTATTGTACAGAAGAGAACTTTGGAAGAAATTGCAACATATAGGACCAAAATAAAGAAATCAAAACTATAAGAATCAAAGTGTCAATTCATGAGAGACGGGAAGACCAAAACAGTTTTACCAATGAAGCACCAAAATCTCCAAGACGGAGAATGTCTTCGCGACACAGCGAACGTGTCGGTACTGTGCCGGTGCTTCCTTTAGGGAGTTGATACCTGTACGATTTTAAGCTCCGTCTTTTCCGATTAAATTTTTTAAATTCTTATAAATACTTATTTAAAATGAGAATCGAGGGAGTCAATAATTTAAATAATTTAATGATTATATTTTTTATTGAAAATAAAAAATTTTGAATTCGAATTGTATAATATGTGGATGTAGTGAAATAAAAGATATGAGATAATTATTTTTTATTATGCAATCAAAATAATAATAATAATAAAAAAAAAGATAAGAGTTGAGGGGAGGTTTTAGGAGGCTCTTGATGGTGTCTTGAAACATTTTTGAAAATAAAGATAGAGACAATAGTTAAAAATTTATTTTTAGATTCTCATTTTATTAAATTTAAAGGTTTTAGCACATATTTTATTAAAATTAAAGAAAATAATCTTAATTTTATACTGATTATTAATTATATTAGCTAAAAGTAGATTTTTATCAATTAATAGAATTAATGAAATATTATAAAATTAATTTTGTTAACTCTGTTATCTTTAGTTGAAATAAAGTTTTTGACAACTAACAGTTAACTAACAGTCAGCTAACAGAACTAACAAAATGTTATAAAGTGAAAGTTATTTTATTTAATTTTAATAAGTGAAGGGCTAAAAGTGTCATAATATAAGGTGAATGGTTAAAATTGTTCTATTATAAAATGAAGGGTAACCTTCAAACTTAATAAGGTGAGAGGCTCAAAATAGGTTTTTGCCGATATGATAATAAGAAATTTTAAAAATTTTATTTTTTATTAAATTAAATTTTATTTTTTAAATTATTTTTATTTATTATTTGATATTCTTATATTTATAT